AGATCATGCCAAATCATCAACAATCAAATCCAGCTAACTGAGCTAGCGACGTACGAAGAACGGGCCCCTGATCTGATGCACTCATGTCAAGTATATTTAAAATCTGTTAAATTCACATGAAGTATTGGTCTTGTGAACATAACCCAGTACTTACAAGGATATAATTTGCAATGCTGCTGAAATTATTTACTTTTTTACAGAATATCACAGTTTGATAATCGGTAATATTAATAATACCATGTTACTTTGAAGCATTGAGTTTTAAACCTTCATTTTTTTTCTAGACCACACCACACCACACCACAGGTAACCAAAATTATATGTTTATATATGTATACATGTACATACAGTTACATTGCAAACCAAAATTCATTAGTTCTATTGGGTTGAGTTGGTTTAAAATGGCGACCTGTGTGGATCCGGACTGTTTCCTTTCCATCTGCCACACTCAGTGCGAACAAAAACTCTCAACAAGACTACATCTCCCAACATGCAACATTCAAATAGCTTGAGGCAACAGGCTGGCAGCTATCTGAACCCGGAACAGCAGATACAACCACCCATGTTTTATTTTTCTTCAACTATTGTGATGAATGACAAGGAATAAACTATACGATACACAAAATGACATTGAATCGACCAATAAAAAAAGAACATTTTTCCATTTTTTTTTAAATGCAAGGATGTAAATTCCCTCCAGTCGGTGAACAGTAAGATCAGGATGTTGCTTTCCAATCCCTAGGAGAAGAAAATAAAGTGGCACCAGCCCACTGGACTACGCAGATATCGTCATATTCAAATATGACCGAAATAAATACATTTTTGGGAAGATTTTGAATGTCTCTCTGGGTAGGGAGCAGAGAAGAGTAGTACACTGAGATGACAGTTGAACTGAAGATGTGTTAGCCTTCACTTATTCGCTCTCCTCTATGGCCCGACCCACGGCTCGCTAGCCAAAAAGCACCAGAAAAATACAGTAACCTGTCTCCCCCAGAACCAAAGACTTCTGGCGTTTGTGCCAAACTGGGAAAGAGGAAGAAAGAGATGACGAGGGAAGTTAAAAATATAGTAATATAGAGAGGAGTGGCAGCTTATTTCCTGTGTAGCGTTTCCTCCCCGGCTCGGCTCAGGATCACTCTGGGGAAGAGGGATTGTCATCGTCTTCATCATCATCCTCCTCTTCCTCGTTGAAGGAGCTGGGCGTCTGGCCACGGGACTCTGAGGTGTGTGACGGGGCTGTGCTGCTATGACTGTGAACAGAGAGAGAGACGGGACATCAGCTAAACGACAGCCTGATTGAAAGCAGCGGTTGGGATATCCGAGGATGCTGTGCTGACTGACATACCTTGTGTGGCTCAGAGGTGTTCTGTTGGAGTTTGTGGCCATGGCTGTAGGGACCGAATCACATGTTTTGTTTAGAAACCCGTATTAAAGGGATAGTTCACCCAAAAATGAAAATGAACCCATTATTTACTCACCCTCAAGCCATCCTAGGTGTATATGACTTTCTTCTTTCAGATGAATCCAATCGGAGTTATATTAAAAATGTAAGTCTTTGATCTTCCAAGCTGTTTAATGGCAGTCAGCGGGTGTTGCAGTGCATCAGTCCAAAAGAAGTGAAATAAAGCGCATCTATCCATAATAAAAAGTGCCTCACACGGCTCCGGGGGGTGAACAAAGGCATCCTGTAGCGAATCGATGCATTTTGTAAGAAAAATAACCATATTCAAAACTTAATAATCACTTTAATCCAGCTCACTGTTGTACACGGAAGCAGCTCCGAAAGGATGACGCAAGATGTCGGTGTTGTGCATGCGCCGGTGAGTCTTGTGAAAACCAACGTTTGTTTACAGGAGCAAAGGAAAACCAGTCTCCTTCTTGGCTTATATCAAAATCCGCCGACATTCTTCTTTACAAATCCTCGTTTTGTACTTCTAATTAGTGACCGTTGTTTTGTTTGTCTCTCCCCTGCGCTTCTGCGTTCGTCACTTCTGAGCGGCGCATGCACCAAGCCGACCTCATACGTCATCTGCCCAGTGAGCGCAAGCTAGATTAAATTGATTATTACGTTTTAAATATGGTTATTTTTCTTACAAAAACGCATCGATTCGCCTTTGTTCACCCCCCGGAGCTGTGTGAGGCACTTTTTATTATGGATGGATGCGCTTTATTTCACTTCTTTTGGACTGATGCACTGCAACACCCGCTGACTGCCATTAAACAGCTTGGAAGATCAAAGACAATTTTTAATATAACTCCGACTGGATTCATCTGAAAGAAGAAAGTCATATACACCTAGGATGCCTTGAGGGTGAGTAATTCATTCAATTAACCCTTTAAAGACAGCAACTCGACACGCATAAATGAAACGCTGCTTTATTTGCACAGGAAGGAAATCTGTGGCTGAAGGGTAAAACGGAGACTGATATAGAAGATGAAACGACTGAAAGGAAGTTTTATCAGAGCATACACGTGTGCCATGAGATACTCACTGGTCACATATGCTTCCAGAGACTTGGGCACCAGAGATGTGGCCACGCTGAGGTTCTCTGGAGAGCATGTGCCGTTCTCGAGCCCCAGAGACATGCCCATCCGCTTCAGGATCTCAACGTCATCATGGATCTCAAATGTGTTGTCAAAGTTAAAGAGGTATTCACACCTGTTTGAAGGAACGAGTTTGTTTTTAAGTCAAAGATACCATTATTACAGTTGGTGCATAAGTAACAAGATGCATGGGGATGCATGGGTAAAGTAAAGGTCCAATAACAATACACTACCATTCAAAAGGATTTTTTTGAAAGAAAAAAATTCTGATATTCAGCAAGAATGCATTCAATTAATCAGAAGTGACAGTAAAACATTTATAATGTTACAAAAGTTCACACACACACACACACACACACAATTTGTGCATCTGCACTCTTCATTTTGGATGCAATATCACACTTAAATACAACGGCATTTTACACACCACTTTTCAGCTCTAGCATTCTGCCACTGATTTTGTAGCACATGGGCCTTATGAATCGGTCAAAAAAAAGACTGCCTCAGAAATCACACATCAATGGTTTGAATTGTCTAATGACACAAACTAATCATAAACTCAGACTAAATCAGTCTGAGTGCTTTTCATCATAGTCACTGAACAGAAAGTCATTGCTTTCTTCATTCCCAACTAGAAATGAACAAACGACTGTGCTATATGTACTTATATTGGTGGGTGCTTCCTCAAAACCGCTAAGTGGAATCAGAATCATGTAATTCCTTTTCTACAGATGATTCCCATGTGTAGTGCTGTTTGGAAGTTTGGCTGCAGGTCTGTAGTGAGAGAACAGACACAAAAACACAAACAGGTGTGGCACAAACCTGTAATATTAGCTCCTCTAGCTGGGCTCTTTTCTGTCGGATTCTTTCCAAACGTTTCTGTTTTTCCAGCTGAAACATGACCAGACACATAAATGAATAGCATTAGATGGTTTGAAGGTGTATGAGCTTCCTCTCCATCATCATCCTCCAGTCACGCTCTGTTCGTGTCTGTCAGGCCGTCACAGATGTGACACTAACAGATGCTATCAGAGGCTCTTCAAACACACACATTGTGCCCTCATTAACACAATGCTTTCTGAAAGCAAGACTAAGTAGTATTAAAGTATTTACTTATGTCTCACATATATGTCTCACAAAAATCACTGGTCTAGTATTTTTTAGTAAATCTTGATTTTCGTCAGTCAATATGTTCACATGCATTACAAAACAATGAAAACAATCAAATTAAATGCATTTTACAGGGTCACATGCAAATCAATAAACTGACAACGGACATTAGAATGTAAATGAGATTTTTAAATGATCAGGTTTTTCCACCTGTTACACGGTCAGACCTGCAAAAAAGCGATTTACATGCAAAGCAAAAATCTAGGTCTGTTGATTAGATTTTGCTTAAGTCATTTATGACCTTTCCTCGATAAAGGCACATACAGTTTGCTTGTTAAGCACAGTCTGTGCATTAACTCAAATATACCCCAGTTAAACCAATATTCTGGTTAATCAAAATCTGAATAAGACAGATGGGATATGATTGTGTGAATCTGGATTATTTAAGATGAAACTGTCAAGCATGACTTTTGTTTGTTAATTGATTTGGAATATGCTGAGCAATAAAGATTTTTTTTTTCTGTTAGCCCGGCCTGACCAGCAGATAAGAGATCTGATTATTATTTTTACATATATATATATATGTGTGTGTGTATTAAACCTTTTGCTTTATTTACAGCCTGCAGTCTGTTGGGATTTGTCTCTACTAACTTTGCACATATAGGGGCTGTTTACACCTGGTCACTTCATGCGTTTTGTCTGATCGGATATCTATCTGATCGTGAAAAGGCCAGGTGTAAATGCCCTTCGAAACACATTCAAGATGGATATAAATCCGATCGCTCAAACCACTTCAGGAGGTGGTCTGGGCCGCATTCCAGACGAAACTGGACGAGTGTAAATGCATCTGGTTGTTGAAACCACATATGTAAATTTTACTCCTCCCAAAATGTTCAAATAATAAACGTGTGAGAGGGTGTTATAGGCTATATGACATTATAGTCAGATATGACTGCACTAATGCAACACGCATTATCTCTTCAGCAAGCCGACGCGCAAACTGCCGCAAATGAAACAAAGTAAGACGCAGACGGTCAACACACAATCATCTTCATTAAAAGTAGTAAGACAAACTTATCTTTCCAGTGCTGTTGCCGTGCGCTCTCCTATTGCCCGGTCTTTGATCTTGAAATGAGCTGATAATTAATAAAATTCAGCACTTATCTTTCTATGTCGTTGAACGTGAACTCCGTTAAATTTAAATATAGCACGAGAATTGAAGATCGGACTTGTATCCATTTTGCGACGACACATTTATGTGGCCAAGTGTAAATGGAAACGTTTGAACAAATCAGATATCCGATCAGTGAAAATGCATGAAATGACCAGGTGTAAACAGGCCGATAAGACTTTGCAATATTTGCCCACTCTTCTTTGCTGAACTGCTCAAGTTCAGTTACATTTGATGGTGAGTGTTTGTGGACTGCAGTCTTCAAGTCATTGCACAGATTTTCAGTGGGGTTTAAGTCTGGGCTCTGACTAGACCATGCAAGAACATTCACCTTTTTCTCCTTCAGCCACTGTGTGGTTAGTTTTGCTGTGTGCTTTGGGTCATTGCCATGTTGGAAGGTAAACCTTCTTCCATTTACAGCTTTCTGGCAGAAGGCAGCAGATTTTCCTCAAGAATTTGACTGTATTTTTCCCCATCTATTTTTCCTTCTATCCAGACAAGTGCTCTGGTCCCTGCTGCAGAGAAACAGCCCCATAACAGGACATCACCACCTCCATGCTTTACTGGAGGAATGCTGTTATTTGGATGGTGAGCTGTATTGGATTTCCACCAGACAT